TGCTGTTATTTCTGAGTCCCTCTTATGGCAACTTAACCTATATCCTACCTAACACCATCTTCTCAGTGGAAATATGGTAGAAGTTTGAAGGGTAAAGGTACACAGACATTTGGCACATCAGATTTTAAGGTGATGTGGACTTTAAACCATACTCCCAAACAGCATATTTGCCTTCATGTCTGGGCTCCAAAAGCCAGCAGGCTGAGGATCAGATAGATGGTCAGAGAAAAACCATTCTTGCCAGTGCTAAGTGCTGCTTATGTTAGATTAAATCATATAAAATTGCCATTTTTTTAAGTTAAAAAATCGCCACCTATTAGTAATTTCATATGCTTCAACCTAACAGAATTGATGTTGGAGCTCACAGAAGATGGAGTCTTGGAGAAGATGGGGCAATCTACTTCCGAAGAGATATTGCCTCAGAAACCCAAGGAGGGGTTACTATGAGTCGAATCAACGTGATGACAGTGAACTTTTTTTTTTTTTTTTGGTTTAAGATCTTTAATAATAAGTGTTTTCTAAAGGGCTGAGGCCAAAAGCTAACCTCCAATGGCAGAAGGCCCTTAGGTGCACACCTGATCTCCTGCACATCACTAGACCGACTCCAGTTATCACCAGAGATTCTGATAAAACCTTGAGCAACATGCTGAATCAAATGGGATGGCTCATAAGTGTCTTAACAGAGACAATAAAAGTGAAACAAATGAGACAGTAATGGTAGTTAGCCATAGTCTTGTTGGGCTTGTAAACTTTGGGTGGAAAGCAGACTCAGGAAGTAATATGACTTAAAAACCCATGGGTGTGAGTTACAAGACCAACCTCTTTTTTTTTTTTTTTTTTTAATTGTGATTTGGGTAAAAGTTTACAGAGCAAATTTGTTTTCCATTCAACAATTCATACACATTTTGTTCCATGACATTGGTTGCAATTCCCACAATACAGTAGCTCTCTTCTCAATTCCTCCCGGTAGTTACCTTTCCGTGTGCCCTCCTTTGCTATGCATCTCTGTGCTCTGGGATATCTCCCTGTGCACATGCTGCCCTTCTGATCTCCCATGGTTGACTGCTATAAGGAGTGTGCCTCCCTGGTATAACTGTTCACCTTGCATGCCTCTCGTTTGGTTGGAAGCCTTAGAGTGAGAGAAATTCCAGGCCAGAAAGATATTTAGGGGCCATAATCTCGGGAGTTTCACTAGTCTCTATCAGTAAGCCTAAGACCAACCCCTTTTTATGGAGCTCACTGTGCCCTATCAGTCAGGGTACCACAGGCAGCAATCTCCTTTTCTGTCTCTCAGTCAGTATGACAGTCTGGCAGTCTGGCTGATAGCCATCCCATACCTTATACATTACAAATGCAATTATATGGTGAGCACTGATTCTTTTTTTTTTATTGTGATTTGGGTGAAGATTTACAGAGCAAATTCACTTTCCATACAGCAGTTCACATATACTCTCCAGGGCGTGTGTCTACTTGAGGTAAATGTTTAACTCACATACCTATACTTTGTTTGGCTGGAAACCACAGGTGTGGGTTCAATTCCAGACCTGAAGGGCAGCTGGGGGCCATAGTCTCAGTGGTTCCACCAGGCTCTATTGGACCAGCAAACCTGGTCCCCACCTTCTTTTTTCTTTTTCCTTCAAATGATTTTGAGTTTTGTTCCACATTGTTCTCCCTCTCTATCCAGGATCTCCTACATCCCTTCCAAGTGGATGACAGTGGTAGCCGGGCACCATCTAGTTCTTTTGGTCTCATAGTTGTATAGATTGCAGATCGGATGGTGTACTAGTCGCTAGGAGTGATTGTTTCCATTAATTTTGGTATTCTTCTTTCTTCTTTCTTCTTGACGAGGAGAGACCCATCGTTGCATCTAGATGGCAGTCTGCTAGCTTTTAAGATCCCAGTCGCTACTCGCCAAAGTAGGAGGTGGAACAATGTTTTGTATAGTATGTTATGCCAATTGAGCTTGATGTCCCCTGCGACTATGGTCCCAAGCCCGCAGGTTCAACTACTCAGTCCCTCTGGGTAGCTGGCTGTGACCAAGCAGTGACCACAACCTCGCCCCTTGTCAGCTCTACTATACACCTGGGAATTGTGATCATTCACATAAACTTATAGGACCATTATCTGCCAACCCTATATATGATCTTGGATACACTCCCCATCTCATAGACATACCTAATCATTTAGCCTTTCCAACTATCTATCCATCCATGTACCCATGTTTGCCTTCACTGACAACTCAGTACTGTATATGCAAAAGGGTTCATACTTGTCTGTACTTCCCATGTGCTTCTCTATGTCTTTCTCATCCTCAATGCTGCCATATTGGTCACTCACATTTGGTACAATGCCCTTCTCTTCACCCAAATCAGTATTTATCTCTATCTATCTAACAGTGTTCCCTCCCCTCCCCTCCCACCCCTGGTAACCAACAAAGACAATTTCCTTCAATAGATAAACCTTTCCTTAACTTTAACAATAACGGACTAATACAATATTTGTCCTTTTGTGATTGACTTATTTCACTCAGCATAATGTCCTCCAAGTTCATCCACGTTATGTGGTGTTTTGCAGATTCTACATTATTCTTTAGCATTGCATAGTATTCCATTGGAGCACTGATTCTCTTGTCTTGATTATAAATTCCCAGGACAGAATCTGATTGATCAAATGTAGCAGATGCTCCTGGTGGCTTGTTACTTTGGCTCATCTCTGACTTCTGTTGCAGCTACAGCGGACAGTGTTCCTATGAGCTGGTATGGCTTCCCACCTCAAATCCCAACCTCAGATATCTCCCCTTTCCCTCAAAGACTCCATTTACTTGCACATAGGAGCAAATTGGCTGTTAGACATTGGAATGGGAATGGGCAGGTTTCCACCCACAGCAATCCTCAATTTGTAGTAGACAGGAGTCAGCCTAGCTTCCTAAGTGACAATTCTGAGGTCCATTCTAATGGTTCTAAATGGTTCCTCTGTGGGTTCCCAAGAGAATGGAGCCCCTATTACCACAGTTTTTACCATCTTACTGAAGATAATTCAGAAACGTTTGCAGCAGTATATTGATAGAGAACTTCCAGAGGTTCAAGCCGGATTCAGAAGAGGACGTGGAACAAGGGATATCATAGCTGTTGTCAGATGGATCTTGGCTCAAGGAAGGGAATACCAGAAAGATGTTTACTTGTGTTTTATTGACTATGCAAAGATTTGATTGTGTGGATCATGACAAATTATGGATAACATTGAAAAGAATGGGAATTCCCAAGCACTTGATTGTACTCATGAGGAATCTGTACCTTGACCAGGAGGCTGTCGTTCGAACAGAACAAGGGGACACTACATGGTTTAAAATCAAGAAGGGAGTGCGTCAGGGTTGTATTCTGTCTCCACACTTATTCAATCTATATGCTGAGCAAATAATCCGAGAAGCTGGACTATATGAAGAAAAACGTGGTGTCAGGATTGGAGGAAGAATCATTAACAACCTGAGATATGCAGACGATACAACTTTGCTTGCTGAAAGTGAGGATGACTTAAGGCACCTACTGATGAAGGTTGAAGAATACAGTCTGCAGTATGGATTACATCTCAACATAAAGAAAACAAAAATCCTCACAACTGGACCAATGAGCAGCATCACAATAAATGGAGAGAAGATTGAGGTTGTCAAGGAATTCACATTGCTTGGTTCTATAATCGATGCCAACGGAAGCAGCAGTCAGGACATTAGATGACGTGTAGCATTGGGAAAGTCAACTGCGAAGGAACTGTTTCAAGTGCTGAGGAGCAAGGATATCTCCTTGAGGACTAAGATGCGCCTGACACAAGCCATGATATTTCCAAGCACCTGGTATGCACGTGAGAGCTGGACAATGAATAAGGAAGACCGAAGAGGAGTTGATACTTTTGAGTTGTGGTGCTGGTGAAGAATGCTGAAAGTACCGTGGACTGCTAAAAGAACTAACAGATCTGTCCTGGAGGAAGTGCAGCCAGAATGCTCCTTGGAAGCAAGAATGGCCAGACTTCGTCTCACCTATTTTGGTCATGTTGTAAGAAGGGACCATTCCCTGGAGAAGGATGTCATGCTTGGTAGGGTGGAGGGTCGACGAAAGAGGGGGAGGCCTTCAAGGAGATGGATAGATACGGTGGCTGCGATGATGGGCTCAAGTATAGCAGGGATTGTGGGGCTGGCGCAGGATCGGGCAGTGTTTCGTTCTGCTGTGCATGGGGTCGCTATGAGTCGGAAACGACTCGACGGCACTTAACAACAACAACAACATTACCACAGTGATAACCAGCTCAGTAACAAATCCTTATTGGCTTCTTTTTCCTCCCTCTCTCCTTCCCACTGTCTTATTCTGCCTATCTAGGTTTACTTCTCACCTAAATTCTTCTTGTTGTTAGGTGCCGTGTAGTCGGCTCGGACTCATAGCAACCCCACATACAACAGAACGAAACACTGCCCGGTTCTGCGTCAGCCTCATAATCCTTGTTATGTCTGATTCAGTAATTCACCTGAATTTCTGGCGCTCAAATTCTTGACTCAGCGTATGCCGCTGGGGAACCCAAAAACAGCCTGTACATGATCTGCAGCTTTCGAAAGAAATTTGAACTTCAGAGACATATGGGACTCGTCAGCTCGTGAAGAGTAAGTGCAGTCGTGACCACAAACGAAATGGCCAGAGGGAGGGTGCACTGTGACAAGGGGGCCAAGGACCGAATTGTGAAAGACCCAAACGATTCCAGCCCTGCTTTTCCAGTATAACATCTGTCCTCGCCTTCGCCGCGCTTTTCGCCCACCCCTTAAGTCTCATAAAGGCTGTTTTTGGAACTACGCCTGGGCCCAGGATTGCGGTGGTGCTCCCGGCGACCTGCTCGCCTTGGGACAGTCACCTAGGTTGCCCCGACTCCCCCGAGGCTCGAGTAGCAGGTAGACAGCTGCTGAGGCCTCTTCCTCCTCTCCGCGACTGCGCGGGACGTGCCCGCCCTGCGTAGTGACGTCGGCGCGCGGCGCGCGCTGGGGGAGGAATGGGAGCCGCGGGCAGGCTCTGAGGTCTCCGGTAACTCAGGCTGGGCGGGGACGGGGCATATAGCCCCCTACAGTGCGAAGTCGCGGCCTGGACCCGGAGCGGGAGCCCGACAGGCACTCAGTACTCGTTTCCTCTCTGAGCAGTCCCCGCCTAGGCCCGGCGATGGAGTTTCCCGACCTCGGCGCGCACTGTTCGGAGCCAAGTTGTCAGCGCTTGGGTGAGGGGCGGAGCACGCGAGGGCGGGGCCGAAAGGGGTTTGAACTACAGGTGGGCGCAGGGTGGGCTCTGGCATTGCCAGAGAAGGGCGGGGTTCGAAGTTGGGGGCGGTGTCTAGGGAGGCGTGGCTAGGGAGATAGCGCGCTAGGAAACGGGTGCAGTTTGTTACAAATAGAGTCGGTTTGGGAGGGTTTCCCTTCCCCCGAATGGGAAGGCTTGAGTGATGGGAAAGGACCCGAGGTGCCTCTAGACTTGTAACCGGACCTATTCCCTGCAGATTTTCTGCCGCTTAAGTGCGACGCCTGCTCCGGCATCTTCTGCGGAGACCATGTGGCCTACGCCCAGCATCACTGTGAATCTGCTTACCAAAAGGTGAGGGGGCGGTGCTGAGAGCTCGCAGTGAGAAGGGGAGAACGCTTGGGACACCGGCAAGCCCTCTGCCTCTCTTTCATTGTCCTTCCAAGGTTCATTGCCGGATAACCTTGTGCTTTCCTGTGCGTTCGTGGGGGACGTATCCAAGATGTGGGAAGACCTGTCAGGACCAGAGATGTGGTCGGGCTGGGAGTGGGCCTCAGGCTAATCCCTCCCCCTTGCCCTTAGGATATTCAGGTGCCAGTGTGCCCGCTCTGTAACGTGCCTGTGCCTGTGGCCAGAGGGGAGCCCCCTGACCGCGCTGTAGGGGAGCACATTGACAGAGACTGTCGCTCTGATCCTGCACAGCAAAAACGGAAGGTAAGCGTCGGAGGGAGTAGCCGGCCACACCAGACCAAATTGGCAATCTAAAAGCTGCTGTGAAGGGGCTGGGGAAAGAGGCAGTCTTAGTCAAAACAAATCTGCTCCCTCCACCTCAGATCTTCACCAATAAGTGTGAACGCTCTGGCTGCCGGCAGCGGGAAATGATGAAATTGACCTGTGATCGCTGTGGCCGGAACTTCTGCATCAAGCACCGTCACCCACTGGACCATGATTGCTCTGGGGAGAGGCACCCTACCAGCCGGGCAGGGTAATTAAAACCAAGTCTTCTATGTGCTTTTCAGACAATCCTATCCTTTTGAAATTCCCTCAGCCCCTGTCACTACAAGTTTGACTTTGGCAAGGGGAGTCTTCTGGCTCCCTTTCCAAGCCTGTACTTGCCAGTTCAGATGCAGAGCCCAGGGTGTTCTCCCAGACTCTTTGGAGGAACTTGCCTTAATTTCCTGGGTGGCCGGGTAAGGCCTGGAGGGTACGTGTGAGCTGTTTGGAAGCACACGAAGAGTGTCTCTTCCCTGCAGACTTGCTGCCATCTCCAGAGCAAAAGGCCTGGCTTCCACAAGCGTCGTCCCCAGCTCGAGTCAGACCTTGGCTTTCTCTGCCTCTCCCAGCAGGTAGGCTGTCCCGTTTCACCTCTTCTTTCTGTTTCTTCACTCCTCTAACCTAAACCTCTTGAATGTCTGCCATAGAGCCACAACTCGGTCTCCATCCCAGACAGCCCCTCCAGTGATTGCTTTGCAGAATGGCTTGGTGAGTTGGGGAGAGGGTGAATGGGCAGATGCAAACCCAGAGTAAAGTCAACAGCAACAAGCTTTTTTGTTTTCTCTTACAGAGTGAGGATGAGGCTCTGCAACGAGCCTTGGAACTGTCACTGGCAGAGACCAAGCCCCAGGTCCCTAGGTACCTAGTACTCCTGATGAAAGAGGGAAGGTGGGAGGGGGGGCAAAGGGTCAGTTGGGAGGAAGGGAGATAGGACTATTCTGACCTGCAGGATAAGGACATTGGGCTCAAATTTAAGATTAACTATGTTACACCTGACTAGTTACTTCAACTGTTAGGGCCTTAATGTCTTCCACAAAATGGGGGCAGTACTAAATACCAGTGATTGATTACCTGGTAAGGTTGCTGTGAAGACTTAGATCATTTTCAGAAGTGCTCAGCAACGTGATGCCTAGCACAGATCAGCTGCTTGTATTTTAGACATTAACGTCATCCAAATTAAGCTGCTCCTCCCTCTCAGTTCTCAGGAGGAAGAAGATTTAGCGTTAGCACAAGCACTCTCAGCCAGTGAGGCGGAATTCCGGCGGCAGCAGGTACGAGGAATGGCCTAAAGGTGGGGTCCTGCTGCTGGGAGGGGGGAAGAAGTCATTTCTTACTTGGTTTCTTCCAAGTGGTAGAGAATTTGGAATGGTGGTTACGTTTTTGTTTTCAATTTGATTCTAGACCACGTTGAGCTGCTCTGAAGGGCTGTCCCCTCATTTCCTTGACATCCCATCCTGTCTCCTCCTCCTCTCCCTCTCCTTGCTCCAGGCCCAGAACCGCAGCTTGAAGCCATCTACCTGCAGCCTGTGCTAGGGCCCAGGGCTTGGGGAGGGTGGTTCACCAGAGGAAGACTGTGGCCCTCGCACCTCTAGGGTCCACAGGAAGAGGAGGCCTGGAGCAGCCTGGAGTGGAGAGACAGGCAGGAGTGACATGGAGGCTGTCTCCGGGAGCATCAGAGGAAACAGCCTGTGGAGCTCAGCTTACAGAAGGCCTTGTGAGGCTCTTAGGCACAGGAGAGAGTGGTTCTGAACTGGCCCTGGCTGAGCCCTTGGTGAATATTGGCCAGGTCCTCCTTAGCCCCCTTCATCATGTCTTCCCCTTGCACCAGGACTGTCCCTACATGTAGCGGGCAGGGAGGAGCCTGGAAAGAATAAAGGATCTTGGCAATCAACAAAGCATCCCGATCTATGCCTTCCTTTCCCCTTTCCAACCAGAAGCAGAAGAGTCTTGTCAGGAGTGCTCACCAGAGCTCAGGGTAGCACCCGCTGCCACAGAGCCACAGTGGTCACAGCCCAGTCCACGCTTTTATTTCCCGAAGGAGTGCTTGTCCTGAAAGGCTCCTTTCCCTTGCTCTAGCTAGCACCATGCCACAAAACCAGGATGACATACACCAGGGAAAAGGGATCTATGTTACGTCCCTCCAAGCAATCCTTTGGCAAGGAAGTGGCCAAAGCTTGTCATCGTGCCATAGTCTGGGGCTTGGTGTCTTCTGAGACTTCTTCCTGTCCCCGCTGCTGCAGCTGCCACATGTCAGCATACACCCCGCCTCGGGATAGCAGAGCCTCGTGCCTGGGGCAGGAAGGAAAGTGTAAGCCCCAAACATCAGTTTCATTCTCAGGGTCTTCACTACCAGCCAAGGAGGAGGACGGTGGGAATGGGCAGGGGAGGTCCCATCAGAAACCCCTGGGACTTTACAACTTTTTCTTGGAGGTCCAACAGAGACCCTGCCCTGTTGATCCACAGGGGTCCCTTACCGTCCTCTCTCCACAATGCAGCCATCCTTAATGACGAGGATCTGGTCAGCACTGACCACAGTTGAAAGCCTAAGAAGTAAGATACCAGTTAGTTACCTGCCACACCATCAAAAGCAGGCCCACGCTGCTCTGTCCCCGAGCCATGGTCCCATACCTGTGTGCCACAACGATGGTGGTGCGGTTGGCGCAGACTTTGGCTAGAGAGGCCTGGATGGCCCTCTCATTCGATGTATCGAGTGCTGATGTCGCCTAAGAGAGGCTCTGGGTTACACTGCCCCTGCTGCCCAAAACCCCAATGGAAGGAGGATACAGGTAGTCACTGGGCCTCAGGAATACGCAACCTCGTTGGGCCTTTAGAACTGAACGGTGTGTTGTGAAACATGGATACACATTCTCTAGCCTAAATGGGAACGGGCCAAGCACGAGCAGCTTGGATAGCAGACGGGAGGAGAAGGGGACGGCTGCCGAAGGCCCTCACCTCATCCAAGAGAATGATGTCAGGAGCCTTGAGGATGGTGCGAGCGATGGCTACACGCTGCTTCTCCCCACCGCTCAGCTTCAGGCCGCGCTCACCCACCTGGGTCTTGTACCCTGCGGATATCCCCCACTTCCCTCAAGTCATACGTAATGAACTTGGTTTCTGGGACCAGACGAACAAGGAGGGGACGGACCAGTGGTCAGAGGGATGAAGAGGACTACACTGGGTGGGGGTGAGGGCTCTCTGCAGGGGACCCTCACCTTCAGGAAAGGCTAGAATGGCATCGTGGATGCCTGCGGCCTGAGCAGCAGCCTCCACTTCGTCATCCCCGGCTGTGATGCGGCCGTAGCGGATGTTGTTGGCGATGGTGTCATTGAAGAGAACAGTGTCCTGGGGCACGACTCCAATGTGAGACCGAAGAGAGATCTGGGTCACCTGGGAACAAAAGACCACATGCTCACCCCCAAGTGACTCTCCCAGGCCTAGGAAGCTTGGTGGGCTAGTAGGAGGCACATGGGATAAGAAGCTGTGGGTAAGAGTCCTACTATTGCCAGCCCAACCCCAGCTGGGTAGGCCAGTCACACAACCATCCTGAGTCTGTCCGACCCTCTGTGGAAAGAAAATCCACTGGGTTGCTGCAGCAGATCTCTGGACCTGGCAGGGTCCCACACCAATCGCTCTCACAACTGCTTATGGGCTAGAAAGGCCGGGATTTCCTGGCTCAGCTTTTTGTGGCGGTGACGTCTTCTATTCTCCCTTGACACCACACTTACCATCCTTCCCCTCAACCCACAGACTCCTGAACAACCTCCTCCCAAGCTCCTTACCTGGGAAATGTCCTGCCTATCTATTCGGATGCAGCCAGAGCTGATGTCATAGAAACGAAACAGCAGGCGCAAAATGGTGCTCTTTCCAGCTCCAGATGGGCCCACCTGGTACATTGGAAACAGAGGGAAATCATTTTCAGGCCCATTGGCTTTTCAGGCTCCCTCTCCAAGAGGCCACTGATGTCCAAGGAGTCTGCCACACTCAGTCCTCTGACTCCCCATCCTGGGGAGTGAGGGAAGCTCAAGGAGTCTGGGCCAAGTGGCTGGATGTCCTCTCACCAGGGCCAGAGTCTGTCCAGGCATCACAGTGAATGACACGTCCTGCAGGGTCTCCTGCCTGGAAGGCACGGAGGGTGTGATCAGCAGGTATGCCCTGTGCCCCCTTCCATCTCCAGAGCTAATAGACCCGGTCTCACCCCTGCCCAGGCTCTCCTCCCAAGTAAGGGTGTGCTGAAGACCAGGGATCCAAAGCAGGAGAGAGCAGGAAGACAGGTACATATGACTGAAGGGCAAGGGCAGACGAAAAGGGGAGGGGCTCACCCATCAGCATAGCTGAAGTGCACGTTCTCAAACTCAATCCGGCCCCTCTGAAAGCAAAGCGGCCCTGCTCCAGGAAGGTCCTTCACCTGGGAGGGTGCCACCAACAAGTGTCACTGCTACAGACCCCGCATCCTCCAGACACGAGGATCAGGCTCCCTGTGCCCAAACCCCACTTCTCTCGTCACTCACCTCTGTCTCCTCTTTCAGCAGGTCAAACATGTTCTCCATGTCAATGAAGTTGGTCTGGATCATCCTGCGAGGAGAAAGGTGATGACTTGGGTCCATTCGAGGAGCTGGGGAAACAGCACTGCACCCTATTTATTTTGAGGGCCAGGGATCTGATTACCTGTAGTAGGTGCCAAACCAGTTGAGAGGCATATACAGCTGGATGATGTAAGTACCAAAGAGCACGAAGTCCCCGACCTGTGGAGCCCCAGGGGGAGGGACTACATCACTGGGGGCTGGAGGCTGCCCTTCTGTCACCCTGACTGCTTCCCAGTCAGGAGCCTGATGGTGCCCTGCCTGGGGCCCGAGCCCTCGTCTCCCCTCCCAGGCACAATGCCCAGCCTCTCTCCCACGATCGGCCTCACCTGCAGCTTCTGCTCAGTGACGAAGTAAGCACAGAGCAGGGAGCCGGCGAGAAGCCCGAGTCCAATCACCAGGTTCTGGGTCTGATTTAGGAACACGAGTGAGGCGCTTGACTTCCACTCCAAATCCTGAGAGCGATATGAAGGAGGGAGGCACGTCACTGAGTCCAAATCCAGGCCCACGGATCTCCAACCTCACAATCCAGATTTGACTCCTCTGAGCCCAGCAATTCCAAAAGGCCAGGTCTTTGCCTTTAGCAGGCCCCAAATTGGCGTCGCACCTGATACCTGATGATGGCCTCTCGGTAACGTTCCACTTCGTAACTCTCTGCGTTGTAGTACTTCACCTGATGGATGCAAACCACTGCTGTTCAGCACGGGCGCAGCACGCACACCCAGATCCTTCCCTCTAGATTCCCTAGGCCCCAGCTCTGGGCTCAGAAAACCCTCATCAGCCTGAGCAGTTCCCAGCCACACTCCTCCAAGATCTCCCTGCCTCACACCACCGCCTCTGAGGCCTGTTACCGTCTCGAAGTTTAGCAGGGAGTCCACTGCTCGTGCCCTGGTAGCGTTCTCCTGGGTGTTCATCGCACGGCGAAACTTGGTTCTCCATTCAGTAACCACGATGGTCAGGGCTGGAGAGTGACAGGAGGGAAGAGAAGAACAGGCCAAGATCTCATTCCCAGCAGCAAGGACCCGGTGTGGATACCTGCTGCCTGCCACACACACATTGAATCTGTGCTACAGTCCAGTGGCCCAGATTCCAGAGGGACGGGGACAGCTTTAAGCTTCCTGAGGGAAAGAGCTAGGCCCAAGACATCTTTGCAGCGTGCACCAAGACGCATGTGGAAAAATGCCTTGTTACACAAACGAGGTTTCTCCTTGACCCAGTGTGCCCAGGATGTCCTTCTGCAGTCCTCCATCCAAGCTGAGCTAAAGCTCGTGTGGCAGAGGAGAAGGCCCGCCCTCCATGTCACCCTGAGTAAGAGCAGGACTCATGCCCAAGGGAGTCCCTGGAGAGTCAGGGAGACGGTTTCATGGACTCACTAAGGTAGAGGCTCATGCACAGGAACACAATGAGGCCAAACCAGGCGTTGAAGAACATGCTGAAGTAGATGATGCCGATGATGATGTCGGCCAGCGTGGGGATGACGTTGAACGCCAGGTAGCTAGGGGGTAAGTGAAGGGACAGAGGTTGGCGGGCTCAGACTGGTGGCTACTTCTAGGAGTTCCAGTGCACTGTTTTGTTTTCAACAGTGACAGACAGAAATCAATCTAAATGTCCCTCAAGGGGGACAGCTAAATGAACCAGCCCACCCAAACTATAAAATTCTCCTTATCAATCATAATTAATGATCTTCATGCAGGACAATAAACTAGCTCTGTGATACTTTGTTAAGTGAATAAAGCAACTCTGAGAATGAAACCTATCTACATGTCTTAGGAAAAACCTACACCATGCTACAATAGTTCTGTGTGTCTACGTATATGTAAAAATGGAAAAAAACACAGAACTCAGCATATTGAACTGAGAGAGAGCCTCTGGAAGCCACTGAAATTCAAAAGAGGTTTATTCTCTGTTCCCATCATCTGAGTCATGATGGAAATATTTGTCTTATTCCCATAAAGCCATAGAAGAGGAGAAGGGCAGGTCCTCGGCCTGAGTCTGTTTCCCTTCTGACAGCCCTTCCATTCCTACTTCCTGCCTAGCCCCCTTCCCTTGCTCTGGCACCTGAGCAGCCCTGTGACACTGGACGTGCCGCGGTCCAC